GCTTCAGACCCATGTATACTGATAAAGAGATGAATTTCTTGCAACGGGCAAGTTGGCCTGATATCAGACTTCCAGTGAGCCCTTCCACATTTACATTGCATCATGTATAATAGTCTGAAATACAGAAAAATTGGCAATGAGCAGACAAGCCCCATCAGAGTAGTAACACAGGAAAGGATGTAATCTGAAATACCTGCAATACCAGATTTAGTGTGGTCACGCTCTGATGGACTTGGGTACCAAGGTTAAAACTGATCCACAGGTGAACATCCAGGGCTTTGATCCAAAGGAATTAAAGCAATAAAATAGAAAGTAACTCAATCCTAAATTAAATGAAATACATAGTCAAAACAACCAAATAACACAAAGGCAACTTTTATGATCAATTAACAGAAGAATGGGAGAAACACTTTACAAGTCATCAATGAAACAGTAAAACACACAACTGGCTTTAGTCAATTTTGCCATCTATGTACTCAAAAACCAACTAGCTTTTGACAGGTCAAGTTCTAACACACCATTGAATGTGTTTGTTTGCATTTTGTGGTCACCTTAAGAGAAATACATAATGCAATCCGGTACTGAAGGACTCCACGAATCCTAACTTCATGACATTGGTAAATCTGCAATGCATTCTGTGTATCCTGTACTTCAGATCCATACCTAAAGGTGGATAAAAGAAAAAATAAGAAAGAAAAAGCAGGTTTTAGTAGTTGATCAACAACCTATGGAGCTTTTATATTAATAATCACGATATAATGTAATCATCCATCAATTATGCAGTATGGCACAATATAAGACATAACAAGAAGTATGAATCAGAGAAGGTTATCATACCAATTACTTGGCTGAAGAAATGCGCGTCAATGATGGCATCCAGCTGCTTGAAGCACCAACTCTATTCCCAAATACACGGCCAACATTTGAAGATTCAGTTGGCTCCTCTGGTCTTGGAAGATTTCTTATGTTCGGTTCTGTGATCGATTATGTGGAATTAGAATTATTCAAGTTTTAACAGTGAGTGACTGGAGAATTATAATGAAACATATGTTAAAGTTTGAAGATTTAATCAAACTGAAGTTTGGGAGAAAACTAGAGAGTGAAAAGTATAATATAATTTTCTCATTTATACAAAGAAAGAAATAAGGAAAGAAAGATTAAGCATCACCAGAACCATTTGAACAGCAGAAGATTTTAATAGAGGTTACAACATAACAACATAAGGTATTTGCAATTTTTTGAAATCTATAGAAGTAACAAACACTAGAGAGAAAGGCTAAAGCCAAGAAGAGAACAAAATGAAACAAACAAACAGACTACCATAAACAGCATCCAAATCAAGCGAAAAAAAAAAGAAAAAGGCAGTTTGGTGTTGCTTTCTAGTACAATTGTTAATACAACTTCCCAGAATTAGGTCACTCACTCTAAAGATAATCTGCATGGATATTAGCTTTCTTAGACTGACACCTATGTGATCTTTTAGAAATTCACATACAGAAGTATAAGGAGTCGGGACTCACATTCTACTGGTTCCCTATAGTTAATAAGTGCATCTAAAGTCATCTACATTTAGTTACCATATCAGTTGAATTGAAAAGAAAGACCGTACACAGTGCACAAGTCTCACACATAAGTGTAGGAGTAGCAGTTAGGTCTGATTTCCCTGACCCATGCCACAACATATCAGTTTAATTATGTATTGTTAAATGCACATGAACAATTACAGATGAAGAGCAAGACAATGTGAAATAATAAATTGAAACATAACTGATTTCCCTGACCCATGCCACAACATATCAGTTTAATTATGTATTGTTAAATGCACATGAACAATTACAGATGAAGAGCAAGACAATGTGAAATAATAAATTGAAACATAACTGATTTCCCTGACCCATGCCACAACATATCAGTTTAATTATGTATTGTTAAATGCACATGAACAATTACAGATGAAGAGCAAGACAATGTGAAATAATAAATTGAAACATAACTAATTTCTTTTTCTTCTTTTAAATAGTAACAAACAAACCATTTCCCTAACATCCATACAGGTTCAAAAAGATAAAATTACCAACTCTGTTATCTTGCTGCATTAACATCAAAGAAATTAGAGGATCCACCTACTGTCTAATAATGCGTTTACTAAGTTAATCCAGCATTCCAAAAAAAAAAAAAAAAATTGATGATTTTTACTTGTCAATGTAAATTATACTATGGTCAATGACCAAAAATTATTGCTACAAAATAAAGGGGTAAAATTGCCAACCACAGGAATATAGAAAGATAGAATGCAATCATATGAGAAGGAATGAGAAACTAACCAACGCAGCAAGCTCGGTAGCTAAACATTTCCTTGCTCTCTCAACAAATTCGCGTGCTTCATCATACTGGAGATAAGAGGTCTAACAGAATCAAAGTTCAACATGTGAAAAGCAACAAAATCAAAGTTCTAAATTACAATAAGAGGTCTAACAGAGCAAAGTTGGAGACTTAAGAATGGAAGATCACCCAACCTAGTTTAATTAAACCTCTCATAAAAGTCTTCGTTTGAAAATAGGACCCCACATAACTGCATGTTATTTACCAGTGGAAGTGATACTCACAATCCCAAGAGAACCAAATTACAAAGATTAGGCAGTAAATAAAGAAGCCCAGGCTAACGTGGCAGAGAATGCATATTGTTTACAATGTGGAATAAAAAAAGTAAGGTGGTTCACCAATTACCTTGAATCATGGTCTGATGGGGGTAGCTGATTATCATACATGTTGATTTAATATTAGAATACAGTGCTGTACTTAGTTGAATATGAAAAAATGGAGTACTCCACATTAAATAAAGATCATAAATATTATATTAAAAAAAAAAAGAGGAAACAAAAGTGTTATGTGATATATTATCTTTGACATGAATTAGTTTTCCTATTCATTTTTGGAGGCCTACATTTAAGGAAACATCCAAGGACACTAAACATATATATCAGAATGTAATTTATCGAGGCCACATGAGGGATTTAAATTATTTGATGATACTAAAGCTGTCAAGATTCCAATTGTCTCAATGGTAGTGCTTTGAAAAAAAATCATGAGACTGGCGTGGAAATTTTTAATCTAATTAACATGCTTTAAACAATGTAGAGTCTGGTTGGCTGTCTTTCTGTTTGGGAACACTACGATTTTTAGATTCAAGTAGGGTCAGGTGAACCCACTCAAATATATATGTTGTTATCACCTAAAAGTCATTGATCTTACATTAGCAAAAGCTGTTAAACCATATAACATGAAATCAACCATCATACTGTACTTAAAGTTGCAGCTTAATTTAAGACAAGGGTCACTGATCATTTGGTTGCAGCTTAGTTTACTTTCGATTAAACTAAATGAGGTTGAGCATTAAAGACTTTAGTGTTTGTACTTGTGTGTGTACCGTTTACAAATTAGTTTTATCCCTGTCAACTGGCTTACCAGTGCAAATGCAATTTACCTTTGTTGAACTGAACTTGGAAATCTGGGAACAACCTTCCAACATTATTATTATTCAATTAACCTTCAGAGGCAGAGATTTATTCTATTATTATTCAATCAACTTTCCAACATTACAGATTAATCAACCATTACAAAAAGTAATCGATGAAGATGAAGATTACAGATTAATCAACCATTACAGAGAGTAATTCATGTTCAATTACATATTACAAATTAAGCGATGAAGATGTGTCATTACAGAGAGTAAGATTCGAGTGATGAAGATGAATCGATGAAGATGTGTCAAACGTTACAGAGAAGACAAAGAGAAGTGTTTAGGCTTACCGATTATGAATCTCGATTATGAATCAATCGAAATCTTCTTCAACAGCATCTTCAAATCTTCAAATTTTGAAATCAAATCTTCAAATCTTCACTATCGAGCGAGAGAGACAATGAGATTCGAGTGAGAGAGTGGAGATTCAAAAGAACGAGTCGAGCGAGATATATTTTGAGAGAGAGAGAGAGAGAGAGAGAGAGAAGAAGAAGAAAGGAGTTCAGATTTGGAAAATTAGGAAAAAATGGATATAGGTCACGTTTTACGTTTTTGTTTTTTTGTGTTTTTTTTTTGGGGGGGAGGGGGGAGTAAAATGAGATTTTAATATAAAAAATAATTTTTTTTTTGCGACGGTTAAATAATCAGTCGCAAAAAATTAGACGCAAATAATCATTTTTCTAGTAGTGTGAGACAAAGTGAGTGCACAAGACAATGCAAGTGAGGTGTACAAAACTGTGCGAGGTAGGTAGAATGCACAAAACAGTGCGGTAGAAGGCACAAAAATAATGCGATGCATGGTGCACAAAATAGTGCGATACCGGTGTAGACACCCCATTTTTGACCGTCCTCAAGACTTGGATGTTTTTGTAGGTTCATCCAGCAACAAGTTCGATTGCTCGTTGAGTGCTTGATTTCCATGACAGAATGCTCCAGGTTTGATCCTTCCAAACCCTATTTCCATTCTGTATCTTTTTTGGACCATGTGTTGGTCTTTGCTTTGTGATGTCCTTGATGGACTGCCGGCCATCAGAGAGGGCTGCCAGCCATGGGTTTTTCCCTGCCGGCCGGCCACCATTATTTCAACAGATATATTTTAGATATTTTTGAGCCAGCTGTTTGCAGGATAAACCATCTGTTTGCACGTGGAGGGCTGGATTTGCTTGAAGGCTTCTTGTATCTCCTATATATAGAGGGCTTCTATATGCATGCAAAGGGTTACAAAAGTTTGAGCTGAGATATTTTCCTTTCCTCATCTCCATTTCTATTAAACCTGACAATTTTGCTCAAGCAATGAATGACCTAAATTGGAAGCAAGCCATGGATGCTGAACTTCTTGCACTTGGACAAAATCATACTTGGACTCTCACTCATTTGCCTACAAGTAAAATGCTCATTGGTTGCAAATAGTTGTACAAAATCAAGTACAAATCCTATGACACTTAGATCGATGCAAATCTAGCTTGGTGGCTAAATGATACACATAAACATAGGGATTGAATTATCATGAGATCTTGGCTCCAGTTGCTAAATTGGTGACCATTTGTTATCTTCTAGCTCTTGTTGCCTTTCGGAATTGGTCCCTCTATAATTTAGATGTACAAAATACTTTTCTCCATGGCGATCTTGATGAAGAAGTCTATATATTCTATTTGTTCATTTAGGTTGTACACACATAGAAAAAAGAGTGTTAATTTCTATCTATTGCAATCTATTTCATCATTAACAACCAACAACAACAACAACAACAACCACCACCACTACCACCACCACCACCACCACCACTACCAACAA